TTTTTTAACCAAGAGCAGTGGCTTTGATATCTGCAAGTTATGATTAACAATTCGAACTGATTAGTTAAATCTGAGGGTTGATTGTTTTGTGTTTTCTTTTTTTTTTATTTTTCTTTTTTTTTAAGGAGGGGCAATTATCACAGCCCATTATGGAGGAATGTGACATCCCCACAGCTTCGGGTGAGGGCTGGATGCCCTTTCCGAGATCCGGTTCAGTAAGTTATTTGGCCCAGTACAGGAATTGCTAGCTGAGATTCTGGGGAATTGTACAAGCAGCCAGATTAAATCAGTCTTAATGTGTCCATTCTACGTTTAAAATCCACAGTCCTTGAGCAGAGGCATGCTCTTGAGCTGCAGACTAATTGGGCATGGGTAGGGTTGTTGTTTACAGTCAGTGTTCATGAGACACTGGGAGTTGGGAATATTTGGCAACTATTGGCAACTATTTTTGCAAAGTAGCACAAATAATGGCACATTTCAGGCTTATCTGCCATATTTTACAATTGCAGCTTTTTGAAGGAAAAAAATTAACTTTTAGAAATTTTATTCCTTTAGTAATTTTATAATTTTTTTTTTCTTGGGAGCCAAAATATTTTCAAAGACGCTGAGTTGTGGGACTGGTTTTTTTTTTTTTTGTTTGGTTGTTTTTTTCAGTTTTATTTTTTAAAACCACTTGTGTAGATCAAACCCCAAGCCAGCCACCAGCTCCCGTGGATGCATAGTTTTCTAATCTTAAAATAGTTCTTCCTTGGCAGAGAACTTGCAACAAATTTCAGGCTATAGTAAGGTTGTGGGTTTTTTTTGTTTTGTTTTGTTTTTTTAACAGGCAAGTTACAAATCTTTGCAAGCAGAATTTGCAATGAAAATGCTGACAGCTCCAGTTATGCAAGGCTGTGTACGCATGAGACGATGGACTATTGTGGTGTTTCAATAATAACCATAGCTTAACTCTTAATGAGCATATTTCTATATCGGGCTTCCCAGCTTCAGTAGAAGTGATCACTTGCCTTTA